CCATTCTCTGCCTCAGCCTCCCGAGTAGCTGGGACTACAGGCGCCTGCCACTCTGCGGCCAAGTTTTTTTTTGTATTTTTTAGTAGAAGGATGGGGGTTCACCTGTTGTTAGCCAGTTATGGTCTGATCTCCTGACCGTCGGTGATCCGCCCGTCCGGTCACCAAATGGCTGGGAACAGGCTGGAGCCACCGCGCCAAGGCCTGTGATTTTTAACTAATGGGTGAGAATCTTTTCATGTTTATTGTTTTCTTTGTATGAAGTGTTCTATTCAACTTTTGTCCACTTTTGGGTTTTATTATTACTGATTTTAGACCCATTAAATATTATAATAAGATATATTTTGGATATAAGTCAAATCAGATAGTGTTTGCAAGTATTTCTCCCAGAGTATCTGGTTTGTCTTTTCATTTTGCTGGCAGTGTATTTCAAAAGGTAGAAGTTTTAAAATTATGATAATGTCCAATTTCTATATTTTCTTTTACAGATTAGATCTTGGTATCATATCTAGAGGATCTTTACCTAATCAAAGTTGCAGAAGTTTTCTCCTAAAAGTTTTATAGGTTTAAGTTTTACATTTAGGTCTATGATTCATGTTGAGTTAATTTTATGGTGCAAGATATAGATCAAAGTTTATTTTTTTTCTTGCATATATATATATATCCAATTATTCCAGCACCATTTGTTGAAAAGACTAATCTTTCTCTACTGAATTGCCTTTGAAACTTTGTCAAAATCATTTGTCTGTATATGTGTGGGTCTATTTCTGGACTCTCTTCTGTTCCATTTGTCTATTTGTCTATCTTTACACCAGTACCAAACTGTCTTGATTATTGTAGCTTCATAATAAGTGTTAGTTCTCTAAATTTGTTCATCTTTTTTTTTTTTCAGAGTTGTTTTGGCTATTCTGGGTCCTTTGAATTTTTATATCAATTTTAGAATCAGTTAATTTCTACAAAAACCCTGCTAGAATTTTAATTGGGATTGGTTTAAATGTATGGATTGGTTTGGGAAGAGTGCTTTCTTAGCATTATTGTGTCTTTTGACTAATGAACACAACATAGGTAGAACATTACTAATCTGAAAATCTGAAATTTGAAATGCTCTAAAATCTGAAACTTTTTGAGTAATGACATGATGCCGCAAGTGGAAAATTACACATCTGACACCTTTGCTTTCTTATGGTTCAATGTACACAAACTTTGTTTTCTGCACAAAAGTATAAAAAATTTTGTATAAAATTACCTTTAGGCTGTGTACATAAGGTGTATATAAAACAAATGCATTTTGTGTTTATACTTGAGTCCCATTCCCAAGATATCTCATTATGCATATGCAAATATTCCAAATCCAAAAAAATGTACAATCCCAAACACTTCTGGTTCCAAGCAGTTTGGATGAGGAATACACAACCTGTATATCTCACCATTTATTTAGATGATATTTAATTACTTTCAGCAATGTTTTATAGTTTTCAGTGCACAAGTGTTTTACAATCTTTTGACATTTTTATTTCTAATTATTTCATATTTTTGAGGCCATTTTTAATGGCATTGTTTTCAAAATATTAACTTCTGGTAGTTCATTGCTAATATATAAAACAAAATAGATTTTTATGTATTGATCTTTTTATCCTGCAGCATTGCCTCAACTCATTTAATAATTCTAGTAGCTTATTTCAAAAGTATAGATTCCAGTGGATTTTCTACATGAATAATTGTGTCATTTGTGAATAAAGAGTTTTATTTATTTCTTTTCAACTTGGATATCTTTTATTTCTTTTTCTTGCTTTATTGCATTGACAAGAAATTCCAACATAATGTGAAAGAGAAGTGGTGAGAGTGGATATCTTACTTTGTTCCTGATCTTAGCTATTCCTTATTTTTTTAAGCTATATTTTTGTAGAAGCCCTTCATCAAGTTGAGAAAGTGCCTTTTTTAAAGCAGTAAAATTCCTTTCTTAAAGCAAATAAAGAATGTACATTGATATTTGTCAAATGCTTTCTTCTACATCTATTGAGATGATCATATAGTTTATACATTTCTTTTGTTTTTTATTATTGTGGATTACATTCATTGATTTTCTATTGTTAAACCAACCTTGCACACTTGGTCATGATATATTATCCTTTAACCTGGCATTGGATTTAATTTGCTCAAATTTCAGTAACAACTTTTTCATCAATGTTCATGAGGGATGTTGGCCTGCAGTTTTCTTTTCCTGTAATATCTTTATCTGTTTTGGACATCTAATTCTGGCCTCATAGAGTGAGTTGAAGAATGTCCTCTCCTTTTCAATTTTATGCAATAATTTGTGTAGAATGGACACTATCTCTTCCTTGAATCTTTGGTAGAATTATCAAGTGAAGCCATCTGGACCTCAGCATTTCTTTGTGGGAAATTGTGTAACTACTGATTTAATTTCTTTAATAGTGGAGGGCTGTTTATATTACCTAACTTTTTTCTTGAGTAAGCTTTGGTAGTTTGTATCTTTCAAAGAATTTGTCCACTGTATCTAAGTTGTAGAGTTTATTCGAATAAGGTTGTATATAATATTCCCTTAGTATCTTTTTGATATTTGTAAAATTTACCCTGGTTTCACTTCTGTCATGCCTACTACTGACAATTTGTATCTTCCTTCTTTTGCTCTGACCAGTCGGGCTAGAGATTTATTAATTTCATCAATTTTCTCAAAGAGACTGACATATTATTTTGCTTTTATATGTCTCAAGTCTTTATTTTGCTTTCAGTTTTGAAATTTTTTTTTCAGTGGATATAGAATTCTAGAATAGTTTTTTCCTCCCAATACTTTTAAGATATTGCCCTACTGTTTTTTACTTTTACATTGTTTGTAACAGAAATTTACTGTGGCCCTTATTTCTGTTTCTGTATATATATTTTTTCCTTCTACTGCTTATAAGATTTCCTATTTATCACCCATTTTGTTAAATTTTATTATTCTGTGCCTTAGTATTCTTTTCTTTATGTTTCTTTTGCTTAGGGTTTGCTAAGCTTCTTATATATACGGGTTTGTCATTTTTGTCAAGTTTGGAAAATTTTCATCCATAATATCTTCAAATATTTCCCCTCCATTATGACTTCAGTTACTCATATATTAGGCTGTTTGAGTTGTCCCACGCCTAACACTTTGTCCAGTTTTTAACAGTTATGTCTTCTATGTTTCATTTTGAGTTGCTTTTATTTCCATGCCTTCAAGTTCACTAATCTTTTCTTCCTCCATGTCTAATCTGCTGTTAATTCTGGAAAGTATATTTTTCATCTTACACATTTTAGTTTTAATCATTAAAAGTTTGATTTGGATCTTTTTATGCTTTTCATGTTTTTGCTTAACTTTTTGAACATATGGAATACAATTATAATAACCATTTTAATATCCTTCTCTGCTAACTCTAACATCTGTGGTTAGTTCTTAATCAGATTCAATTGATTGATTTATCTCCTCATTATGTATCATATTTTTCTGGTTTTTTTGTGTGTCTGGAAATTTTTGATTGGATGCCAGACATTGTAAATTATACCTTGTGGGATGCTGTATATTTTTGTGTTCCTATAAATATTCTTGAGCTTTGTTCTGGGACACAGTTAAGTTACTTGGAAACAGTTTGATCTTTTCTACCCTTGTTTTTAGGAATTACTAGCTAGACCAGAGTAGTTTTAGTCATGGGCTAATTATTTATTACTACTGAAGCAAGACCCTTCTGAATACTATACTCAATGCCATGTAAATCTTGAGGTTTTCCAGTCTTCCTGGTGAATGGCAGCCACTATTCTCTCCAGTGAGTGCTCACTAGGTACCATTTTGGGTGGTCCTTTCTCTGGTTGTAGGTAGTATCTCTACATGAATGCATTTACCCATACTCAGAATGAGTATTTTTCAGAGATCTGAAGTTCTCTCTCTGCCCAGCTCTTTCCTTTCTGGTACTCTGTTCTGTGAACTCAAGCTGTTTTGGTCTCCTCAGACCCTCCATTTCATTTCCTCAGCTCATGGAGTCTTCTATACTCCACCTGGGTTCCCCTCCCTGTTCTGTGGCCTAGAAATTCCCTTAAGGTAGTAAGGTAGAGGAATCATAGGGTCCACATCACTTGTTTCACATATCTGAGGGCTCAGTATCCTGCATTGCCTGGTGACTCAGTGTCTTAAAAACTATCGTTTATATGTTTTGTCTATTTTTTTGTTGTTTCAAGTGGAAGAGTAAACTGTTCCTGTTTCTCCATCTTGACAGGAAGTGGAAGTTCTCCTTAGCTGATTTTTCTTCTTGCCTTATACGGGTTCTTTAAGACCAGAACAAAAATAAATAAATAAAAGAATCTTCCAGAAATTCACGAAGAGACTTCAGGTTTGCAGCATAGGTTTTTGACAACTAAGTAGAGCAGTGGGCCAGTCTTTATTTGTTTCATTAATCTGGTAAAAAAAAAAAAAAAAAAAAAAAAGGATTTGCATGAAATTCATGATTAAGATTGCCATATTAGCTACTAAGTCAGAAGACTTGAGAGCTGAGCCTTGGAGAAACAAAATCCTTGACAGTTGTTGATGTTTTTGTAATAAGAGACTTTATTATTTTAGCAAACAGAAAGACTGCGTGAAAATGTCAGAAAGAAACTACTTTTGGAGAAAAAAATAGAAACTGACTCACTAAAGGGACCTACTGGGGATAATTACCCAGAGCCTGTGGTAGATCAGGATGGCTGATTTAAAGTTATTGTTTTTGCAAATTCTGCAAAAAACAAAAAACAAACAAAGATTTTTTTTTCCTGGCTTTAGCAGCAGCAGAAAAATTTCTTCCACAGCTGTAATCTCATGTAAACTGCAAAAGTGGATTTTATTCTCTGAGTTTCTCAAGCCTCCTTTTCTTTAATACAGAGTAATATTGGCTTATGATTAAACACTACAAACTATAATTTGAAATAGTGTTTCAATTTTCAATTTGCAGTCTTGGAATAGATCACAGGAATTTTAGTTTGTTGGTTTCCTGCTGCCTTAGGTCAGGAAAGCCTGAACTTTCTCATCCAACACCTGTTCAAGTCGGAGGATGCTGATTAATTCATGATGGAAAGGTATCAATTTTCACAGACTAGACCTCTACATTCTTGAAATGCTCTTCTCATGGGAAACATTAAATAAGCTTTGAATTAACTGTAAGTAAATAAATATTCAATTATTTGCATGGCACTATATTCTGTTTCATTAAAAATATTTCTTGATTTTTCTCACCAATAAAAGTATTCAAAAATGTTTAATTCAGTCATCATCACATCAAGAATTACTATATTATCTCTGAATTACATAAGTGATTTTCTAGTCATATACATACTGGTTGTTCTTACTCTATATAAACATACTTTTTGTTAAAATATAACCATTTAGTTTAAAATTGAGACACCCTTGTTAGAGGAGAACTTCAAATATATTTAACAACAACAATAAAAAGGTTAAATATTAATAGCAAATGTAAGTAAGCATGGGATAATTGAATGGCTTTTTATATTTTTAGAAGTCAATTCCATCTTCATAGACTTTAATTCTTCCAGGTTTTAATTCACATTAAGTTCTAATGGCTGACACCATTTTCCTCCTCCATATCTTCTTCGGAATATGGACATCTTGGGTTGTTGTGAGAATGGAGTTACCAAAGTTGTAATCAGATAAACACTAAGCAAAGTGTTATGGCAAAGTGTGGTCAAGTGTGTTTCCTATCAGATGGTCAACACCTTAAGTGCTCAAGGTTGATGAGAATTGTTTTCATCTCTGTTGATAGGAAGAACCAATGGTGTGATCCCTGGATACTGACAATTGTTGCCCAAGAAACCCCCTCCCCTTGCCATGGGACTGCTGGGCACCCAAATAATGCACCCTAATAATTTGATAGCTCTTGTTACACGGCTCTTCTTGGACTAAAAGGCCCTCAGCATTCCTGGCAATTTCTACACTCCTGGAGCTTCATCTGGTAATTCCCTGACTTATGCAGCACCACCCCACTCCTAGAGTATCTTTAGAGGTGTTTGCTTTCTTCTTAAAGCTATTATCCTCTTGTTCTTGGAGGGCTTATTCTTGGGGGACTTGGAGGGCTTATTAAGCCCTAAGACTCAATCATTAGCAACCAAAAAATTAACTTCTACTCTCCCAAGGTCAGGGACAACATAATCTTAAAATACGGTGGTTAGGGAAAATATTTGCATAATGTATTTTTAGGAATGTACAGGAAGGGAAGGCAAATATAGAGGAGGAAGATGATTTAAGAGAGTAGAGCAGAAAATATAAAGCTGCCACAAAAATTTGGAATTGCAGAATCAGCTAAAGGTAGGTGTTTGTTCTGCTTACTAACAAAGCATACACCAAATACAATTATTTGGAAGCCTATAATTTTTTAGGGTAAACTTTTTTAGGTGTTCTTCTAGTCTTACCCCATTATTTTAGAGGTGTAAAAACTGAATCCCAAAGAGGAGAAGTGACTTGGTTAAGCTCACACAGAAACTAGAATCCTATATCTTTTGTATTGTATCAGATGCTTTTATGATTACCGTATGCTGCCTTTTTAAGGCCTGTGATCTCCAGAGAGAGGTTTCAGCTTTTTGATATGCCAAACTAAGGAATTCTTAGTTGGCCTTTTTTTTCTTCTTGAGTTTGTGCTTGCTTAACCTAATGAGTAGGTAATAACCCTATGTTTCTAAATTTCTTAAATCAGACTTTTTGGGGTATGAAATTTTGTTAATGATTCTGTTAAGAAAAAATGTCTTTTACACTTTTTCATCTGAAAGGCAAGGGGATGTGGGATGGAGGTTAGAAATACACAGCTGCCATAGTCTAATTCTTGTATAGATATTATTGAGTGATTAATGATTGAGAAAATTGCCTACTGCTTCTCTTTACTTTTCTGTATTAGCAGATGACCTTTTCTTTTTGATCCATAATGAGAATATGAGAGAAAATGAAAGGAAAGTGCAACATCACAATAGGCTAAGAATCTACATAATTAAATGCCCAAACACTTTATCATTCAAGATCCTTCATGATCTTGCCAATCTCTTTTCCCAATGATGTCCCATATTATCTCCCTTTGCATATAGTTTAATCCATACACCAAATAACTTGCTGTTCTTTAAATGCTTTGTTTTTCTACCTCCACATCTATTTTCATACTGCTTTCTCTACCTGACATTCTCTGTCCCCAAACTGTTGCTATTTAAATTTGACTTAGCTTGGGTTACCTGAGATGTAGACACTGAGACAAACTTTTAAGGTTGAGTAATTTATTAGAGAGTAAAGGTAGGAGAATGATTAAGTGAAAGAATGAAAGAAAGGTTATTTTGGAAGAGCATGTTATCAAGACAGCTTTCAGTTCCAGGAAGCAACTGAAGCATAGTCCCACAGGGAAAGCTCTTGAAGCCCAGACAAGCTATTCTGCCTTAAAATTACATTACCCAAGGGGTAAGGGAACTAAGTATTTATACACCAACACTCCTCAGATATTGCTTGAGAGTTGCTTCTAGAGACATTAATTCCAGAAGCTTCCAACCTGTTGAACACCTAGGTGGTAGAGTGAGTTTCACCAGTGACAGGACACCCTTAACAAAGAACTACTGGTGCTAGGAGTTGGAAGTTGGGCCAAAGGCAAACAGATGCTAACAGGGAGGTAATATGAGAGGCACTGACAGCATCTGCTACAAAACTGTCCCCCAAAGAAAAGATGGGATACAGCTGGCTATGCTGCAGTTAAAAAGCAACCAAGTATTAATGGCTTAATACCACGAAAGTTTATTTTTCACTTCTTGTTATCAGGAGACCCCTGTCGATTCTATAATTCAAAGAACCAGGCTGATGGCTGGTGGAATAGCTACCATCTCAAACATAGTGTGATGCTGCATCAGAGGGAAAAATAAGCACTTGCGTTGGCAATGAAATGTCTACCCTGTAGTGACTTGTGCTACTTCCACTCACAAATGATTGCCCAGAGCTACTTATCTGGCTCCAATCTACCACTGGGTGTGTACGTGCAATCTACTATGTACCTAGAAGATGAGAGAAACAAATGATTAATGATGACCACATCCCAAGACTAACAATAATTGCAGATTAATCAATGACTTAAACAAAAATGTGGCCATTGAAGGAATAGAAAATATAGTGAGTTTAGTGTAAATTTAAAAGTAATTTATAAGTAACATACCAAATCCAGAAACTATAAGAAAAGAGATTGACAAACATAAATACATAAAGCTTTAAAAAAATTTAATGTAACAAAAATGGCATAAAAAGTCAAAAGTTTTTTAAAAATATGTTAATGCAGTAGATTAGGTGCTACTTTTCTTAATGTACTAATAACTTAATAAGATAAATTTTGTATCTAGAAGAAAATGAACATGGAAATAGGCAATTCACAGATAATGGCATTCGTCTGGCCAATAAAAAATGTGTGACATTCAGAATAAAATAAAAATGAAATACTGTTTTTCAGCCATCACTTGAGCAAAACTACAAAGATACAGTGAGACTCAGGCATTCCCATATACTGTGGATGAGAGGGCAAAGACCTTTAACCTCTAATTTTATTTCTATTTTTAAACATGTGTGTTAAAATTTTAAATACTGATGTCCTCTTGACCCAGTAATTTTATGTCTAAGATTTGAATCTGGAGATAAACTTGAATAAATGCATCCAGATTTGTGTATAAGTGTTAATATAGTTTAGATGTGTGTTCCCACCCAAATCTCATATTGAAATGTAATCCCAAGTGTTGGAGGTGGGTCCTGGTATGAGGTGATTGGATCATGGGGGTGAATTTCTCAGGAATGGTTTAGCATCATCCCCCATGGCCCTGTCCTTGCATAGTGAGGTGAGTTCTGAGATCTGGTCATTTAAAGTGTGCAGCACCTCCCTGCCTCACTCTCTCTTGCTCCTGCTTTTGCTATGTGAGGTGTGAGATACTGCTGTGCCTTCCACCATGATTTGAAGCTCCCTGAGGCCTCCCCAGAAGGAGATGCTACCACGCTTCCTGTACAGCCTGTAGAACTGTGAGCCAATTAAACCTCATTTCTTTATAAATTACCCAGTCTCACATATTTCTTTATGGCAACGCAAGAACAGACTAATACTAATATGTTCAGTGGAACATTATTTGTCATTATAACACCTCCACACCCCAATGTCCATAAATAGGAGTTTAGCTGAACGATTTATAGTATATACTTATAATGAAGTATTATACAGCCATTGAAAAGCCTGAAATAGATTTTTGTGGGCTGAAACATAAAGCCTAGGATAGAATATTGATGAAAAATGAAATAACAAAAAGCAATCTATAGTGTGATTCCACTTGCATGTGTGTCTTGCAGATGCATAGACAATTTGTGAGAGAACACGAGAGAGTGTTAAGAGTGGCAGCCTGTGGGGAGGGCTAATAGGAGTTCAGGGAGATACAGCGGGGCTGTAGAGGATGTTAATTATATTTTGGCCATGCTCACTTATCATTCCTTGTCTTTATAAACAAACCCCCTTCTCACTCACACAGCATGCTTTGAAGAAGGTGCTTCATTACTTCAACTCCAGAGAGGGAAGATGAGACCCAAGCCTGGTAAAAAAGCCTACCCAATTTCACTAGCCACATTGACTCCTCAAGGGTGTTATTTATGAGTTGAAAGTTGGTCAATCCTGAGAGAGTTTTGGGACTGGTATGTGAGCCCCTGGGAATGTAGAAAACTCTTTTCTTCTGAGTGTGAGTCTGGAGGATGTATGCTTGAACTGCTCCAACCTATGAATGTTATGAAAGAGGAAACAGAACAATGAGGAAGAAGCATAGCTGATATGTCCAGAACAGATCTTTGGACATTTCAGTTACAAAAACAACAATAAATAAATATATAAATAAACAAACAAGCAGGCAATTTTTCCCTTTTTGGCAACTTTGAATTAGGACCTACCTAGATGAGTTCTTTTCCTTTAATTTAATATTATGTTCAGTTTGAATATATGTATGTAGTTTTGTAGTAAAAAGTATTTTGTAAATAAGAATATTCTATCCACTTTGTGCTTATACTTTTAAAAAGATGTACAAAAGAAAGCTTGGATATAGAAACTGAGATATTTCTAAATGTAATACAAGACAGCCATTAAAAAATAATGAGGTTGATTTATGTGTATTCATGTGGAAAGATACTCTAAAAGAATGAGAAAATATCAGGTTCCAGAAAATCACATAGAATACATTTTCATTTATATAAAAAAAGATGTTTATATGTATATTACAATCCAAAAAGCTATACAGCAGATTAATCAGTTCCCAAGTATGGGATTATGGGTGAGGGACTTCACTTCCTATTTTATACACTAATGTATGTGAATATTTTATCCCCATTCTTAGGTGATAAAGACCTCAAGTATGAGTTTCATCTGATCTTTGAATTCTTCAGATCACCTGCTCATATTAGGTAACAAATATGTGTTTGTGGGGTGAATTAGTATGGAAAAAAGAAAATATAAAATTAATTAAGAGGAGGATTTTACCTCATAGAATAAGGAAAATCCAGCAGTTTTGTGTGTGTTAAAGGCAAATGTCAAATATTAGCAGATCCATAGGCTTTGAAAAAATAATCAGTTCACAAGACCCACATCCCCACCACAATTCTAGTTGGTCATTTGCAGCTAGAGTTACTCAGAGAATAAGAAAAATTTTATGTTTTTGTCTTTTTACTGGAGATTTTTTTCATAGAGGTGGTAGTAGTTAGGATAAATCAGGGTTATGCTACAGTAGCCCAAATCTCAGTGGTTTCAAACAATAAAAGTGCATTTCTTATGTTTGAAACCACTGAGATTTCATGCCACATTTCCAAAGCAAAGTAGCAGTAGTACTGTTCATTCTAGTCACCCAAGAACTCAGTAGATGAAGTCTCTGTCTCAAAATGTGCACCCACAATCACACTGGAAAGGAAAAGTCATGGCAAATTCTGCAGTGGTTCTTCAAATTATCATCTGGAAGTGACATACACCCTTAGATTTCATTGCCCCATGGAAGTCACATGAACACATCTCACTTCAAGGAGGTAGGGAAGTGCCATCTTACCACGTGCATTTCCGGAGAAATGATAGATGAGATTTACTTCCATGCAACATTACCTACATTTACATACTTTTCAACATTCCAGTTTGGTGTCCCTTCCTTGAAGTCTATTTTAAAATGCTTGTATCATAACCACTTGCCCACAAATTACTTCCCAGAACACATGATTTTACCTATTAGCAGTGTGTTAACAATTTTGTTTAAAATAAAAATTATTTTGACTTGTTAATTGCCATTTTCAGCAAATACAAAGCAAACTGAAGCGCACTGCCATGTTCCCTAGGGTGAGTGGGAGGCTCAGTAAATACTAAGGGGTGAGAATATTTGCCTTGATTAAAATGATAAAGTAAATACTTACATTTGAAAATGTTGATCTGAGTAATAAGAGCTCTAATTTTTTTTTTTAGTCATCATGCATGATATAAAATATGTAATTTATTGTTACATAAACTGCCCTAAATAGGCCAAATGTTGTCATCTTTACTGGCTAATTTGAACTCTAGCATATATAAACTTCCTGCTCGTTTTTGGTATTATCCTAACATTCTTTATTTTAAAAACATATTTTTTATTTGTTTTGTTTATAGCAGAGATGTTATTCTATGTATTTTCTGTTCAAGTTTCACTTATTTATAAATACAGTCATTTAAAGTTCCATTGCCAAATCCACACGTTTAATAGAAATAAATTTGAAGCAACCTTGATAAACACAAATGAAAGTAAGAAAACACAGAGTATTATAGTTTCCAAGAATAAATTTTACATTGTGTATATCAATCAGAAATAACAGGCCATATTCAACCACCACAAAAATGACTAAGACTTTACTTGAATAGTCTGCGAATCTTTTGCAACGTTATTGAATATAATTTTACTCAGTATAGCACCGAGGCACTAAGTGCTGTCTAGTGTTTCCATGCAGAAGCCCTTGTGATGTATCTTATGAGGAAAATGACAAACTTATGTGTGTAAAAAAAGCCTCATTCATGTAACACGAATATCAGGCATGCGTTGTAGTGCTTTTGGCTTTGAGTTCCATATTAATGAATCAACTATATATATGTTAAATAATTGCAAGAAATATGTTTGGCATCATGGGAATGAGTAATTAAATGATGTCATTATAAAACAGAATATTATGATATTTGTTAAAAATTTAAATTATCAATAGTGGAAAAGAAAAAATGCATAAGTTGTCTACTGTAACTATTTAGAACAATATGCATAGGAGGGAAATACAACAAATTATAAAGAGGATTATCTCTGTGTGCTGGGATTAGAGGGATTTTTATTATTTTGTATTATTCTCTTCCTTGTAAATTTACCATTTCAAGTATTTTAGGGCAATAAAATTTATTAGTTTTATAATTAGAAATATTTATACTTTTTTTGTCTTAATACCAAGGTAATATATTGTGGGTCATTGGTTTTATCTGCACTAGGTCAGATGTTTGCTGAATTCAGTTCTGAGCTTTTGAACCAAAAGCAGATCTTCAGAACAAGAAAGAAGATAATAAAAGAGAAACACGAAGAAACTGAAGATGATTGGAGGAATACAAATCAAGATGATTAGACCTAGCAGAGGGCTGGCTGGATGGCATTTATGTTGACGATGGACTCCTACACAGAGAATGATCATGGTCTAGGACGTAATAGTGATGCAATCATCATGTCTTAAATGATTTTTTAAAACAAGTGAATGAATGACCAATTACATATCTTCCCTGAGCCAATAAAATATATTAAAAGTATAGGCCTGGGCACAGTGGCTCATGCCTGTAATCCAAGCACTTTGGGAGGCTGAGGTGGGCAGATCATGAGCTCAGGAGTTCAAGACCAGCCTGGCCAACATGGTGAAACCCCGTCTCTACTAAAAATACAAAAATTAGCTGGGCATGGTGGCGAGTGCCTGTAATCCCAGCTACTTGGGAGGCTGAGGCAGGAGAATCGCTTGGACCAGGGAATCAGAGGTTGCAGTGAGCCAAGGTCGCACCACTGCACTCCAGCCTGGTGACAGAGTGAGACTCCATCTCAAAAAAACAAACAACAACAACAACAACAAAAATACCCAGAAAACAAACAAACAAAAAAATGAAAATTAGCTGGAGAATTGCTTGAATCCAGGAGGCGGAGGTTGAGTGAGCAGAGATCGCGCCATTGCACACCAGCTTGAGTAACAGAGCAAGACTCCGTCTAAAAAAAGTATAGAAAGAGTTTTATATTTGATAACAATTTACATAAGTTCATTTAAAATATGGATGGTATTGTATTGGCTTTTTCCAGAAGGAGTTGGGGAAGAAATAGAAAGTGAAAGGATAAATCAGGGTGCTAAGTATGATATAACAAGGAATCTTATAGTCTTAAATTGGGAGGTTCCCTAAGGAATAGCCACAAAGACCCAACTCCAAGCAATAAGCTTTCTAAGCCTGGCAAACAGGACATATAACAATAGGTGACTGGTTTCCGAATTCTGGGGTATTCATGTTTTAGAGAAAATTGTTTCACAAAGGTAACATCAACTATGCAAAGTACTTTATCTAGTCTAGGGAAAGTCTGAGGTTAAATGATTATTTATAAGTTATTAACACACTTCCGGAGAGAAACAGCCTTTAGTTAAATTCTTTTAATCTACCAATATCGAATTTAGAAAATACTGATTGTTCAATATAAGGTATCCATAGATAACTATTTTTGTGTAAAGGTATCTCAGCAATATTTGCATCTTCAAGGAGCACACTATCCACTACACACACACAACACTCACACACATGTACAGTCAAGCCTTATTTGTGGATTGCATATTTGGATTGCATATTGCCTACTCACTAAAATTTACCTGTAACTCCAAAATCAGTATTTGTTGCACTTTCACTGCCATTTGAGGACATGCAGTTTCTTGCACCCAACCTCATCCCAGCTGAGGTTGGACAGGAAAAAAACCCTGCCTACTTGTTCAGTTCTCATTCCCTAAACAAGCATTCTTTTTATTGTGTATTTAGTGCCACATCTTTTTATTTTTGCATTTTTGTGCTTTTGGTGATTTCTCTGTTTTAAATGGCCCCAAGTATAGTGCTGAGGCACTGAAGTGCTATCTAGTGTTTCCAAGCAGAAGAAGTCTGTAATGTACCTTATGAAGAAAATGACATAATTATACGTGTTAAATAAGCTTTATTTATCTAACATGAGTATCAGGCATGAGTTATAGTGCTGTTGACTGTGAGTTCAATGTTATTGAATCAACTCTATGTATTAAATAGGATTTCCTTAAATAGAAACACACATAAAACAAAGTTATATGTTGATTACTTAATGAAAATGTGACCAAAGGTTCACAGGAACCCAGCTCTGTATTTCCCACAGGGAAATTAGTGAATGGCTTAGTATTCACTAATTCAGTGTTTATGGAGACTTTATAGAAAATAAGTACCAGAAAAAAAATATAATATATATTATAATTAATAATGTATACACACACAAAAACACACATACACACAGCTATGATCTCTCATTTTAAATATATTCATAAAAATATTTGATATTAAATAGAAGTCTTTAATGATGTATATTTTTACACTATATATGTACCAATGTCAGGCTTATGTTCATTACTTTTATAAAAGCCGTTAACATTTCCACTGCAGAGGAATTCTCTCTAAACCATAAAACTATATCAAGTTGGCCGGACACGGTGGCTCACGCATGTAATCCCAGCACTTTGGGAAGCTGAGACGGGTGGATCACGAGGTTAGGAGATCAAAACCATCCTGGCTAACACAGTGAAACCCCATCTCCACTAAAAATACAAAAAATTAGCCAGATGAGGTGGCGGGCACCCGTAGTCCCAGCTTCCCAGGAGGCTGAGGCAGGAGGATGGCATGGACCCAGGAGGCGGAGCTTGCAGTGAGCTGAGATCACGCAACTGCACTCCAGCCTGGGCAACAGAGTGAGACTCCGTCTCAAACAGCAAAAACAACAACAACAACAAAAAACTATATCAAGTTGTTGTTTTAGAGTCATAATTGAAAGCTTGCTTTTTCATTTTTTTTTTGTTTTTAAGCAGAACCAAAGACAAAAACTACATATGATTATCTCAATAGATGCAGAAAAGACCTTTGACAAAATTCAACAGCCCTTCATGCTAAAAACTCTCAATAAACTAGGTATTGATGGGACGTATCTCAAAATAATAGGAATTCTTTAGGACAAACCCACAGCGAATATCATACTGAGTGGGCAAAATCTGGAAGCATTCCCTTTGAAAACTGGTAGAATGGCAATCATTAAAAAGTCAGGAAACAACAGGTGCTGGAGAGGATGTGGAGAAATAGGAACACTTTAACACTGTTGGTCGGACTGTAAACTAGTTCAACCATATTGTGGAAGACAGTGTGGCAATTCCTCAAGGATCTAGAACTAGAAATACATTTGACCCAGTCATTCCATTACTGGGTATATACCCAAGGGATTATAAATCATGCTATAAAGACACATGCACCATATGTTTATTGCAGCACTATCCACAATAGCAAAAGACTTGGAACCAACCCAATGTCCATCAATGATAGACTGGATTAAGAAAATGTGGCACATATACACCATTGAATACGATGCAGCCATCAAAAAGGATGAGTTCATGTCCTTTGTAGAGACATGGATGAAGCTGGAAACCATCATTCTCAGCAACTAATTGCAAGGACAAAAACAAACACTGCATGTTCTCACTCATAGGTGGGAATTGGACAACGAGAACTTGGACACAGGAAGGGAACATCACACACCAGGCCTGTCATGGGGTGAGGGGACGGGGGAGGGGATAGCATTAGGAGAATATTCCTGATGTAAATGATGAGTTAATGGGTGCAGCACACCAACATGGCACATTGTATACATGTACTAAAAACTTGCACATTGTGCACGTCGTACCCTAGAACTTAAAGTATAATAATTAAAAAAAAGAAAACAAAAACTATATCAAGTTGTTGTTTTAGAGTCTTAATTGAAATCTTTTTTTTTTTTCTTAAATAGAGTCTCCCTCTCTTTCCCAGGCCGGAGTGCAATGGTGCAATTTTGGTTCACTACGACTTCTGCCTCCTGGGTTAAGTGATTCTCCTGCCTCAGCTTCCCGAGTAGCTGGGATTACAGGCACACGCCACTGGGCTTGGCTAATTTTTATATTTTTAGTAGAGATGGGGTTTCACCATGTTGGCTAGGCTAGTCTCAAACTCCTGACCTCAAGGGATCTGCCTGCCTTGGCCTCCCAAAGTGCTGGGATTACAGAAATATTCTTTTATTATACATTTTTCTAATATATATGTCATGATCACTACCAAATACACATGAAACTCAAAGATGGACAGTTTTTTTTAAGCAAGGACATCTGAATAGGTGGAAACATGTTGTTATGATGTGGGTGAATTTTCACACAGAAAATACAAATATGCAGAAGTCAATGTATTTTTAGTAAACAATTTGAATTTCCATCCTTACCTACAAACTGCTTGTTGGGCAACAGCTTAATATTGCTATTCTTAAGTAAATTCAGGCACTTCAGGACATAAACTTGGTAGATTTAGAATTTAAGCTCTGTCAACTTAAGGAAAGCATAGTTTTATTCTTCTTTTGCTCTCTAGGATTATATCTAAGTTCTGTGAGGACATGGCATCAGTCTGAAGGCGGATTTTTGTTCTCTGTAATATTGTCACACCCCAAGTCATTAATCAGATCACTACTTCTCCATATTTTTGTGCTGCTGTTCACTACTAACATTTGTAGTCCAACCGTGATCTCTGGCTGCATCCTTATCCTGTGCATCCTTATCTTCTAAATCGTACAGTCCTTTTGGTTTTGTTGTGCCCTTTCAGCTCTTGGTTACAGAAAGCCTTGGCTATTTTCTTTGCCCCAGGCTCGACTATATGGGCTTCATCAAGCTGCTATGCAAACACATTTGCAGATCAGTTCTTGTTATTCTGTAAGGCCTAAGTGTCCCTGAATTCTGCTCTAGTTATGCAGACACTAGCCTGCCATGACGTCTATAAGAAATAGATTGGCATAAATAACAAAGAATGATAATACCAAGTGTCAGTAAAGATGTGAAATAACTAGAATTCTCACACTTTCCTGGTGGGAATGCAAAATGACTCAGCCCCATTGGAAACAGTTTGGCAGTTTCTTATTAAAATAACTATACATTTATTATACAACTCATCATTTGCATATCTAAGGATTATTCCAAGAGAAATGAAAAGTTATCTAACGAGGCCACAGACACCGCCCCCCCCCCCACCAGCAGCCAGCACCTGGTGCAGGCCCTGCAGCCGAGCTACGCAGTGGCACCATGCAGGTCATCCTGAAGACCCTCCAGCCGCAGAGCTTCAAGATAGACATTGACCCGGAGGAGACAGTGAAAGCACTGAAAGAGAAGATAGAATCTGAAAAGGCGAAAGATACCTCTCCGGTAGCAGGTCAAAAATTAATTTATGCAGGCGAAATCCTCAATGATGATACTGCTCTCAAAGAATATAAAATTGATGAGAAAATCTTTGTGGTGGTTATGGTTATGGTGACCAAACCCAAAGCAGTGTCAACACCAGCACCAGCTACAACTCAGCAGTCAGCTCCTGCCAGCACTACAGCAGTTACTTCCTCCACAGCAACAACTGTGGCTCAGGCTCCAACCCCTGTCCCTGCTTTGGCTCCCACTTTCACACCCGCATTTATCACTCCAGTATCAGTGACAGTGTCTTCTGAACCTGCACCTGCTAGTGCAACTAAACAAAAGAAACCTGCAGAAAAGCCAGCAGAGACACCAGTGGCTACTAGGCCAACATCAACTGATTGTACATAGGGAGATTCTTCTTGGTCAAACCTTTTCCAAGATGCAACGAGTGCACTTGTGACAGGTCAGCCTTATGAGAATATGGTAACTGAGATCATGCCAATGGGCTATGAATGAGAGCAAGTAATTGCAGCCCCGAGAGCCAGTTTCAAGAACCTTGACAGGGCAGTGGAGTATCTTGTAATGGGAATCCCTGGAGATAAAGTCAGATTGTGGTTGACCCCCACCAAGCAGCTAGTACTGGGGTTCCTCAATCTTCAACACTGGCTGCAGTTGCAGCAACTACGACAGCAACGACAACAACAAGTTCTGGAACATCCCCTTGAATTTTTATGGAATCAGCCTCAGTTTCAACAGATGAGACAAATTATTCAACAGAATACTTCCCTGCTTCCAGCGTTACTACAGTAGATAGGTGGAGAGAATCCTCAATTACTTCAGCAAATTAGCCAACACAAGGAGCATTTTATTCAGATGTTAAATGAACCAGTTTGAGAAGCTGATGGTCGAGGAGGAGGAGGAGGAGGTGGCAGTGGAGGAATTGCAGAACCTGGAAATGGTCCTATGAACTACATTCAAGTAACGCCTCAGGAAAAAGAAGCTATAGAAAGGTAGAAATTCCTGAAGGACTTGTGATACAAGCATATTTTGCTTGTGAGAAGAGTAAGAATTTGGCTTCCGATTTTCTTCTACCACAGAACTTTGATGAAGATTGAAAGGGAGTTTTTTATATCTCACACTTCACACCAGTGCATTACACCCAACTTGTTCACTGGATTGTCTGGGATGACTTGGGCTCATATCTGCAATACTTGGTATAAGGTAGTAGACTGTTGGGAGTGGGGAGGGAGGGATCTAGGATATTGGACAGGGATAAATACAGTGCATATCTGCTTCAATTAGCAGATGCCGCAACTCCACACAGTATGTAAAATATTATACAACCAAAAATCAGCTTTTGCAGGTCTTTATTTCTTCTGTAAAACAGTAGGTAACTTTTCCTAGGTTTCACTCTTTTTAGTGTACTAGATCCGGAAACTTAGTGTAATGCCCTGCTTTATATTTCTTTGACTTAACATTTCAGAAAGAATCTTAGCTACCTAGAATTTACAGTCTCTGTTTCATGGCAACACTGGATAATGACTTTGTGAAATTTAAAATAATTTTGTAGCGACTGTAAATAGAAATGCCAAGTTATTGATAGTTAATTGTTGCTGCTTCAAAAATAAGTATAAAATTAATGTGTAAGGAAGCCCATTCTTTCATGTTAAATACTTGGGGTGAGAGGGGAGAAAGGGAACCTTTTCTGAAAATGAAAATAATTACTGCTATTTTAAAATTTCTTCATCATTGAATGTGAGACCCTTCTAACATGATGTGAGAAGCTATACAAGTATAGGCAGAGTTATTTTCCTGTTTACATTTTTTTGTTTGTTTTGGGAAAAAATCAGTAGGTGTCTAATTACTGTTTACTTCATTGTTATATTGCAGTAAAAGTTTTAAAACAAAACAAAAGTTATCTGACAAAGACTTGTTTGGAACTGTTCAGGAAACTTTATTCATAATTACCCCCAAATTGAAATAACTTAAATATCAACTGATAAATGGATAAACAAACCGTGCTATAGCTGTGTAATGTAATACTACTCAGCAATAAAAAAGAATGAAATGCTGATGCAAGCAATAGTATAGATGGAATCTCAAAACATTAGACTGTGCAAAAGTAGTCAGATCAAAAAAAGTACATACCAAATGATTCCATTTATATAAAACTAGGAAAAACAAGTCTAATTTAAATGGACGGAAAGCAAGCCGTTGACTATCTGGGGCTGAAGGTGTTGATGGGGTTGGCGGGGAAAAAGGTAGGGAAACTTTCTGGGGTGATCAAAATGTTCTATTATCTTCATTTGACGATGGTTGCATGGGTTAATAAATTAGCCAAAACTCATCAAAATGTACACTTCAAATGCGTACATTGGGTGTATGTTAATTATATATAAATAGAGTTGATTTTAAAATAAACTAGAAGCTCAGTTTGCTTATTTATTCTCTTTGGACTCTTTTAGTCCTCCCATGGGAAAAAAAAAATGCGTGAATGCTTTTGACTTTTGTGATCAGGAGCAAAGTTGCAGAATCTACACAGGAAAACCTAAGTTAATATCTCCAGATTCCATATGCTTTATTCTGATGAAAGTGAGAGGTGATATGAAGAGAGACCATTTTTCAAGTATAAGAAATAATGTAATAGGTCCAAATAGAGACACTCATTAATCTTCCCAATATGCCAAGCAGTGTTAAGTGTTGAGAGTCCATCCAAGAGTAAGACATTTGACTGAATGCATCTGAGTATAGGAACCTTGCCTGTCTGTTCTATGTTGTATTCCCAGTGCCTAGCACTGTATGCTTGCTACATACTTATTGAATTGTTGAATGAAGACATGCTTACTTTTATCATAGATGTTAAAATCTAGTGCAAGTGGCAGGCATAGATTTATGTAATTTTAATAGACAGATAATTGCTGGGTGATGACATATTCAGTGCTATGAGAATAGAGAGGAGGAACAATTAGCCCAAACTGAAGTTTTCTGGAAAGTCCTTATGAAGGAGATGTATCCATGCTGAGAAGAGTGAATTACACCAAGAGAAAAGGTGTAATATGTCAGACACACAAAAAAATAGCCTATATAGGGGCATGGAGATTTGCTAATTCATTCAAGGAATATTTAGTGAACCACTATCGTGTGCTAAGTACTGTTGTGGGAGCAGAAGACTGAAGATGACTAAGAAAATAATCCCTGTCGTCATAAATTTTATATGCTAATGGAGGAGGCAGATAAATTTTAAAAATACCCGCTTAATTTAGAATTGTGCTGAAAATAGAGAAATAAAGGTAGTAAAGAGAAAATAAAGCAGAGTATTGGCCATAGAAAGTGATGGGGGAGGTGGGTGTTCTATTTTATGTAAGATTGTCACAGAAGGAATCTGAAGGAAGTTAAAGAGTGAGCCATGTGCGTACGGAGGGGAAGAGCTTTTAAGGCAGAGAAAACAGCCTGTGACAAAGCCATGATTGAGGGCTTGCATGGCATGCTCAAGGAGAAGTAGGGAGGCCCGTGTGGCTGGAGAAGAGTGAGCAAAAGGGACAGAGGAGAGATGAAATATGATGTTCGTGGTGGTAGATGGTGAATCATTGTAAAGAATTTGGATGATACTTAAGAGAAATGAGAAAACATTGGATAAGAAACATGATATGACTGCCATTTAAAAGTATTGCTCTGGGCTGGGCATGGTGGCTCACACCTGTAATCCCAGAAATTTGGAAGGCCAAGGCCTTGAACTCCTGGCCTCATGATATCCTTCTGCTTCAGCCTCTGAAAGTTCTGGGATTACAGGTGTGGACCACCATGCCTGGCTTCGGACAACTCTTCTATGTTGACATTTGTGTAGTTCTTCGGCCATCATTGGGGCTTTAAAGTCATAATTAGTACACTGTACAACTGGATATAATGATTTTGGAGTTTCCAGCAAATGGTTGATAGTGCTGATAATCTGGGAAAAACCAGAAGGGGAAAAATAGAGGCAAGGTTGAAATCTGGAAAACAACAGTATTTGAGAGCCAGGCAGAGCAGGAAGAGTTCATGAAGGAGATTAAGATGGAATGGTCAGAAAGAGAAGAGAAGAATCACAGGGAGAGTGGCAATATGTACTACAAAGTCCAATGAAAGCTGATCCCTCTCTGCTTTCCTAGGACCTTCTATTACTCCCTCTCTAGATCATTCAGACTAAGAAACACTGGTCTCCTTGACAAAAAGCATGACTGATCCTATGTCTGAGCCTTTGCATTTGCAGTTCCCTTTTGTTTTCAGATCATTACAAGATGATCATTATATGATTCATTATAATCCTTCAAGTCTCAGCTCACAAGACATCTCTTCAGAGTAGCCTTTCCTGATATCCCTAAATTAAAATAGGCTTTACATATTATCTTGCTATAGTATAGCATTTTATTTTACTCTCTTCCTAGCACCAGTCACAATCTGAACTTGTTTAATTCATATATTCTTTTTTAAAAATTAAATTTCTGCACTGGATTGTAGACTCAATGCGAGCCAAAACTTTGTCTTTCTTCTTTACATAATTTTTCTCAGGGCCTAGGACCTTACATCCCACACAGTGGGTGGTCAGTAATTATTTATTGAATGTTTCAAGTCAAGGAGCAAAGTGCAAAGAGAGCTATAAGAAGAATAAATGGAAACAATATCAATACAGGAGAAAAGTCTAACGAAATTAAGAGGTTTCCATTGAATTTGACACAGTCCCTGTCCTCAAACAGCTTTGGTTGATGGCAGTAAGCATAGATCCTGGAAATATACAAGGCATTTCAAAGCAGCATACTGCAATATGATATAAATGTTATGCAAGTGTGGAGGTAGCAAATGAGTGATATTATAAATACTTTTTAATTTACTCCCAGCATAATAGCTCAGAGGTTTACTCTGCTCTGGTCTTAAGTCACCCACTCATTGCTCTGGCAGTAAGGAAAATGGCACTATTACTGAGCCTTGTTTGAAGCTATGCCATTGGTGCCTGTTGGCTTGAAAATATTTCAGTCATGTCTTTGTTTTTAAGAGGGTGAAGTGCAACAGTTTCAGATTTTATTACTCTAAGGTTCGTGTTGGCTATTGAACGTATTTGTCAGTTGTAAAATTTTGATCTGCTTCATTTTAGAAAGAGATCACTCACAGAAATTTGTGATCATCAATATGAAAGAAAAGTTTTTGCATTAGAAACAGTCACTTGAACATTATTATTCATCTGGATAATAGATTTTGATTACCTATACCTGTCAGTTTTTTATAGAGCTTAACAGATATACCATCTGTCTTTATAAATGATTTAATGTTAAGATCTTGCATATGGTTGACTCTGCATGGGCAGAGGTGGCAGTAGGCAAATCTGGTCTTCAACGTCTTTTGCCCTTATAGATGTCTTTGAAGACATCCATTGCCTTATCCACAGTGATCTCTGTTCACAATGGCTGTGACATTGTCCCATCTGGACTGCAGCTGTTAGTCCACTTGAGTCACCATGGAGATATGCCTTATTCCAGTAAGCACAATCACTTTGGGTTCAGTGGTTCTCTTGCTATGTCTGAGCCACACTTAACAAAAGTCAATTTTGTTTTCCTCTGCCACCCTGAGAAGAGGGAAGTTCTGATATTGTCGAAGGCTCTATCTATCTAAATGCACATAGCAGTCATTTTTTTTTCTCTTAGGTTTTGCTTCCTTTGGTTCAACCTAGATTCCATAAACTTCTCAGGCAATTGGCCCTTGCCTTGGACTTGGCCTAGAAGCATGGACAATGCCCCTCCCTTGGAGACACACCTAGGTCTAGGTTTGCGTTGCTTTTTTTTTGCTTTGACTTCTATCAACATGCAGGGAATACTGTTTTCTAAATTGGCCATGGAAACCTAGGGAAAGCTGTGCACTTCATCATATTTTATCCTAAATTGTTTGCTATATTATGAATCTTATATAGAAGACTCCTTTCTACTCTTTTGCCTCATTGTTTAGACTTCTGAATTCAAAACCCAAGAAGTGATTACTTTTTTTCTGTTTTATGTTGTCAAATCCCTTTTCTGAAACAATCAGATGAGAACAGCTTAGCTGACTAAGCAGAGAGTAAACCAAAGACATGGTAAGAGACCATTCTGGGTGTGTGGGTGGGGATCACATTGGCTAGTATTTTAACCTTATTATTCCATCTCTCAATTAAATGTCAACTTTTTATTTAAAAATAAGAGTTATAAGTAGCCAAATCATGTAATTTCCATTTCAGTGCCTCATGTTCTCCTATCCATGCATTAACAGAAAGGTTAATAAGGATTGAAAAGGAAAATTAAGGAAGTGAGGCAGCAGAATAGACACTAGGGAATGTTTAATTATTGGATTTTCTCTGATTCCATTACTGAGATATTCTTTGTGTTCTTGGTACGTATTTGCAGTACTAATCTAATCTACCCCTCCCCTGCCCCACAAGAAGAAGTGATGAAGGAGTACGTAAAGTAAATGAGGACCCATATTTGGTAAATTTCGTTCCTAGTCTTTCCAGGTACCTCTCCCTGCTCCAGAGTCTGAAATCTTAACCCTCAATGCATACACATACACACACATACACAGATAAATGTACACATAAACACAGATGCACATATACTTGGGAGTCATTTTGATTAAGAGACTACTCTTTTGGAGTACAAAAGCTAGTCTTCATCCAATAGTAGTTTGTTTTCAAAAAAGTCTGGATTTGGAGGTTTAAGAGAAGAAGAAAACAAGAAGAAAAAGAAGAAAGAAATGGATTTTGTCAACGTGAATCCAATTCTACATTCCTGTGGTCATTGTTTCACTTCCTCCTGTATCTTTAACACAAGAACTAGATTATGCTACACTTGGAAAACTTTGGAAACTGAACTGTAAACAGTATAGAGAATTGATAGAGAGTTAGAAAATGAAGAAAAGTTAAAGGATACCAATTGGAGAATGATGAAAAATTGTAGAATGATGGAGAACTGGAGAATTATGAAAAGTTGTTAGGATTTATTTTTTAGAAGGTGATCTGTTTCTACATGGAAGTGCTGGAATTTGTGGTAGAGTTGGGAAAACACCCCCCAATCCTACAGATCCAGTGTTTAAACACCAACCTCTGAAATTTAAGTTGGTGGCCCTTGAGAGTCATGGAAGAAATTGAGCTATTAGAGTAAATTAGTAATTACCATGCTACCTATTCAGACCTCAATACTGAGATATTGTTTTTATTATTATGTTATGGCATGTTGCTTTATAATGCACTTAAATCATCTCTGCCATCAGTGTTTTATGTCTTTAACTATAAGCTCCTTGAGGGCAGTGGTTGTACTATTTATTTCTTAGGATCCTTCTACAATGTTTCATATGTTTGGCTCACACAAAACACTTGAAGCATGTTAATTAATATTCCTTTAGAGTGAAACTTATGAGCTTTCTTCTCT